TCAAGGTCAGGAGTTTGAAACCAGCCTGAGCAAGAGCGAGACCCCGTCTCTACTATAAATAGAAAGAAATTAATTGGCCAACTAATATATATAGAAAAAATTAGCCGGGCATGGTGGCGCATGCCTGCAGTCCCAGCTACTCCAGAGGCTGAGGCAGGAGGATTGCTTGAGCCCAGGAGTTTGAGGTTGCTGTGAGCTAGGCTGACACCATGGCACTCACTCTAGCCTGGGCAACAAAGTGAGACTCTGTCTCAAAAAAAAAAGAAATGAAAAGAAAAGAAATTAGCCGGGCAACTAAAAACATATAGAAAAAATTAGGCAGGCAAGGTGGCACATGCCTGTAGTCACAGCTACTCAGGTGGCTGAGGCAGGAGGATCACTTGAGCCCAGGAGTTTGAGGTTGCTGTGACGCCACGGCACTGTAGCTTGGGCAACAGAGTGAGACTGTCTCCAAAAAGAACTTGGGAGAGATTAGTGGTGGCATATAGACATATTTCTTAATTGTGGGAAAATGCATATCACATAAAATTTGCCATCTTAACCATTTTTAAATGCACTGTTCAGTGGCATAAAGTGCATTGCATTGTTGTGGAACCGTCACCACTATCCATCCCTAGAACTCTTTTCATCTTGGAAACTTGAAACTCAAATCATTAAACAACAACTCCTCATTCCCCCACACCCTACCCCAGCTACTGAAAACCATCAGTCTACTTTCTGTCTCTATGAATTTGACATTTTAAGTACCTCATATAAATGGAATCATACTGTATTTGTCTTTTTGTGAGTGGCTTATGCCACTTAGCATAGTGTCCTCATGGTTCAACCATGTTGTAGCATGTGTCAGAATTTCCTTCCTTTTTAAGGCTGTATAGTACTCCACTGTATGTATAGGCCACACTGGGTCTATGCATTCATTCATGCACTGGGTCGCTTCCACCTCGTGGCCATTGTGAATAATGCCGCCATGAACACGAGTGTACCAGGATCTGTTTTAGTACCTGCTTTCAATTCTTTGGGGTATACAGTCAATACCAAAAGTGGAGATGTGTTCTAAAGGTGTCTTAATTATTCTCTGCTCCTCCTTAAGCCTACATTTGTTTTATTCTTAATGTCTTGATCAACCACTGACCTTACTGGGTCTCTGATACATGGCCCAAAAGCTACTTTGTCAGAGATCCCTGGAGGGACCACAGAAAACAGAGACTTTCTACAGCCAACTTCCCTCAAGAGGCTTAGGAGGCCTCCCTACTGCCTCGAATGCAGGATCTATCAGGAAGTAGGGTGTTGGGTGGGGTGGGGGAGCAGAATGGGCGAGGCCTGGGTTAGCACCCAGCTCAGCCATGCGTCGGTGGCATGACCTTGGGCAACTTCCCACACCGCTCTCTGCCTTAATTTCGGGATCTGTTAAAAGAATGAGATAAAACGGCCTCAACATTCTCAAGCAGCCCCGTCCAATACAACTTCCTGTGACGACAGAAACATACTCTGAGCTGTCCGGAACGACAGCCACTAGCCGCATGTGCTGTCGAACACTTGAAATGTGGCTGGTGAGACTGAATTTTATATTTCATTTCATTTTAATTAGTTAGAATTTGAATTTGAAAAGTCTCACGTGACTTGTGGCTTCCTTGTTGCACTGTGCTGCTACAGAGGGTGTACTGACACAGTACATAGAAACGGCTTCGCTGGCTCAGTGTCTGGCACATACTAAGCACTCGAATAAATGTTTGCTATTATTAGGTATTATGTGTCTTGCTTTCCGGCCCACCACACCTGATGGCTCTCAATGACACCCCACACTGGCTGTCCCGGAGTCACCTGGGGGAGGGAGGAAGGTGTTGCTGCGTGGTGCATGTCAGTAATGAGCCTTGCACTGAATGTTTCTGGTCTGTTACTTTCCCTGGAGGGTCATGTGAGCTGGAGTGGTATGTGGCCTGCTTTGCAAGTGATTAACATGGTGTAAGCAATCTGCATAGAGAGAAAAAACCCTCAGTTGGTATTCCATTATTCTATTAGAGTTTCAGAGCCAGGATTAAGTGGACATGATTTCTTCCTATGGGCCATTAATTTTGTTTTATTGCTGGTCTGATGGCCATTACCCTTTTTTGCCAATGCATTCCCCCATTAGGTTTGTACAATTAACAAAATATGTGCTGTTAGGGCTTTGATAGGAGGAGTGGGATGGAAATAAAGGGAGGGGGTGCAGCCGCCACAGAGCTGAGTCGGGGGGAGAGGCTAGACCCAGGGGTAGAGTATATGGGATAAGGTGGGGGGATGCCTCAGCACCTGCCTTCCGGCCATTGGCATTCCTGGAAAACTGCGATGGGACATTTCCCCAGCTCTCCCCTGGCTAAGAGTGGAGGAGTCGTCCAAGTGAGAGGGAAGGACACTTGGGGGGTCCAGGTGAAAGCAGTACTGGCATCCCTTGTCCCTCCTCCTTCAGCCTCCAGCTGGGTACAGCAGAGCTGAGAGCATAATGCAACACCCCCCACCACCCCTACACTATCACCTTGACCCTGAAACTCCTCAGCAGCAGCATGAGTCAGCCTCTAGGTGTCTGGCCTTGTGACAGGAGAAACTTCTGGGGTGATACCTGCCTTCTCTCTGCAGGGCACACAGGAGGACATGTGCCCGATTAAGAGGGGTCAATGCCATCCAATGACTGCCACATGGAAATGCAGGATTGGCATGGTTAGGTGGTCCCATTTTTGGAGAAAAGTTAGAAATCTGGATTTTTAAATGTGAAATTTCCCAAGGTTTAGATGTTGGCAGAATTTTTAAGAACACGGGACAGGCAAGAGCCAACCTTGGGGCTGCCAGTTGGCAACCTCTGCCAGTCAATGAGGAGTCATGGGAGGGCTTTAAGGAGGGGCGGACGTGATCAAATTTGTGTTTCAGAAAGATCCCAGGGCCGAGGTGGGGTGGGATGGAGTGACAGGAATGGGCAGAGGCTGGAGGCCAAGAGAACAATTAGGGGCCCTTGCGCTACTCTGGAGACAGAAAGCCAGTCCGCGTCGGGTCAGCGACAGTGGGCTGCGCAGAAGTGCAGTGATTCTCCTGATGGAGGATTAGCAGGTCCTGGTGTTGGTGTCTTTGCACCTCAGACGACGTCTCCACGGGGCCGGGGAGGCTGAGCAGGCTGAGCAGGCCCACCCTCGCCCCCGGCTTGCCCGTGCGGAGGCCGTGCCACTCTGCGAGCCCACACCACCCAGTGGGTGTGAGTCTTCCCTTCCTGGGCGCAGAGGCAAGCCACGTGCTTCTTCCCAGCGTGGAGAGGTCATAAGTGTACCTCATTCCTTTTCCCACATAGAAAAATCATTAGGGTTAGCCCCAATACCACATTTCCTAGAGGGTTTCATAGGCATACCTCTACTGACAGGCACACACCCAAGATAAGAGCTGGTCTGGGCAAGGCCTGGGCAGCGTCACTGAGGGACCTTTTCCAGGTTCTCTGCAACCAGGGGCATAGCACTGCTGTGGTGCAGGGGGCTGAGGACAAGGATGGAGTTAGCATCTGTGCCCAGCAGGCTCAGAGAAAGGCTGTGCAGTACTCGCGGTGCTAGATGGGTAAGAGTCTCAGAGCTAAGTAGTTAGCGCTAGGTAATTCTACCTTTATGCAATTACCCAGCTATTGTGTCACTCAGAACCTGCTGGTCAGGGGCTCTGTTGGCTGACTGACAACATCATTGGACAACTGTATGCAACTGCAAAATGTCATCAGGTACTGAGAGAGAGCACAGGTGGAGTAGAGTGGGGACTTGAGGGTGAGGAGGGGCAGAGCTCAGGATATGCTGTCTGGAGGGATGGTCGTCCTTCAGGTGTTTGCTCCCGGAATGGTCTACCTCAGCCGGATTCTTCCACTCAAGCTTGATTTCTCTGTTGGAAGGTTTGCTCATATGTCTATGGAGATTGTTTTAGAGAAAGAGCACATCTAGGGAGACTCTTGGTGTACAAGAAGGGCTGGTCACAATTTGGCCCTCATCCCAAAAGTCTAGGCTGGACAAGAATAGGAAAACTTGTCATGGGCAGAGGGATGAATGTGGAAGTCCTTAGTCTTCTCCATTCGGTGGTGGCCAGCCCTTCCCATATGACACTGCATCACAACAAGAGCCTTTACTTACTAAGTGATTAATATGTTTTAGGCATTGCACAAAATGCTATACATGCATCACCTCATTTAAAGGTGCTACTGTTGCTCCTCTTTTAAAGATGAGGAAATTTAAGTCCATAGAAGTTAAGGTTAGGTAAATGATGGGCACCTGCTGGAACCCCAAACTGCCTCCAGCTTCTTTACTCTTAACCACAGCGATATGCTGAGCTACCTTAGCAGGAGACTTAGCGGCTTCGCTGGGGTTAGTCTGGACAACCTCAGAAATATGTAGATGTCAGATGGAATTTTATTTTAAAGATCATCTAGTAGTCTACCCCTATCATTTTGCAGATGAGGAAACTGAGGCATAAAGTGACTAAATGTCCTTGTCCAAGATCAAACAGTAAGTTAATGACAGAGTCAGGAACCCATGAACCCATGTCTGGCACACCCCCCTGGTCTAGTGCTCTCTGTGTTAGACTCATGGCTTTGCTAACCCCCAACCTTATCTCCCTCCGTCCTTCGAACTTACCTGGGTGTGCTCCATGGAGGCCCACACAGCTGTCCTTGAAGATGCAGGGTCTAGTTCTACTGTGCTACTTCCTGTGGGACACTTGCTCCTATCCTTCTTCCTGCCTCTTTCCCAAACAAACACAACCATTCAAATCCCTCATCATTCACCATTTTGCAAATTCCCTCATATCTGTAAATATGACTGGTCAATCTCATTTATGATTCCATTTCATTTTCATAGTGAATAAGACAAGCCTGAGTTCAAATTCTGCTTGCATCATGGCATGGCTGGCAGCCTTTGACATGATCCTTTGCCACAGACCTCTGGCGTTGGAAGGCCCTAAAATATCACGCACATGGATGGCTCCCCACATGCACCCATGGGCCAGTGCCAGTGCCACTGGGGCATGGTGATGAGTGAAAAATAAGGAGAAAAGGAGAATGTGGAGAGGTTGCATATGCACACAGGTGTGTGTGTGTGTGTGTGTGTGTGTGTGTGTCCACGCGCGCGCGTGTGCGTGTGTGTGACAGAGAGAGAGAGAGAGAGAGAGAGAGAGAGAATGCTTTTCATGAGGCTGGCTCTATTTATCAATTCGTATGGCTCTTTATTGTAAGATATTTTTACCCTTCTTGCTTTGGAGGATGGAATTGTTTCACGAAATGATGCTAAGAGAAGACACCATTAATGTTTTATCAAAATATAAGTTTTTCAATGCTATCCATCTTCTAATGTTTTTCAATATTTTACTGATGGCTGAAACCCAAATCTGGGAAACCATGCTTCAGAGAAGCTTCTCACCCAGTGCAGAATTCTCCTTTCAGTGTTGGAAGTGCACTCCCTTCCAAGGAAGCCTAACTCATTTTGGATGGTTGTCATTGCCAGAGAATTCTTTCTTATATTGCACTGCAGATTGGCTTCCTCTAGTGTCTACAGTTAGTCCTAATCCCACTCCCACTCTCTAGAGCAAAAAAGTCCTTCTTTCACATAGTTTCTTCAAATATTTGGAGGGCTGTCATGTAAGAGAGGGATCATATTGCTTTAATCACTAGAACCAGGACCAACGGATAATTTTAGAGAGGGACAAATGTACCTCACAGCTTCCTAACAAGACTGAAAACAGCAAGAGCAGCAGTGATAGCTAACATTCCGTGGGTGCTGATTTTGTGTGAGGTACTGTTCTAAGCACCTTATGGTATATGAAGTCATTCAGTCCTCACCACCACCCTCAGAGGTAGAACTTATAATAGCCCTATTTTACAGATGAAAAACTGAAGCATGGAGGACCATGGTCAAGCCAGGATCAAAACCTATACAGTGTCATTCCAGAGCCTGGAACAACTAGACTTTTAACCCACTGTCTAACCACTGGACATCTTCTCTTACCTCTCTTTTCTACTCATTGCTGTCAAAGTACTTAATACATTATGCCAGAAATGCATATAGAACTAATATGGACTGATAAGTCCAGAGTGGAGATCATTCGCCCCTCCGCTGGGCATAGGATGGCTATTAATGCAACCAGACGTCACATTGAGTAAATCTGGCAGCAACACTGTGGCAGCAACACCCTGGGCTCATCTTGAGTTTGTATTTAACTCATATAATCCATGTCCTTTTTTTCAAATCAGGTCAGCCCACTCTGGTTTTCGCAATAGATTTTTGAGTTTAAGAGCAGGATTTGGTGTTTATATTCTTGTCAAATCTTTTTCTGCAAAAGATTCTGTTAAAAGGGAAAAAAGTAGGTATGCATGTGGACATAGCATATAATTTGATGGTGTAGAGTAATGAGATTGTGGGCAATTTTTCTGTATTTTCAAAATTATTTCCTCTGTGGTCATCATGATGTTATTGTGCAAGAAATAAAAACTGTTAGAGGAAAAAATGGACTTTTTAGTTTTGGCCCATCCTTTCAGCTTGTTAAAAGCTTCATAACAATCTTGACTCTGTCTCTCCAGCACAGTACCCACTTTTTACATCATGTGCACATGGAAGGTCTGCCATATCTTCTTCCAAGTCACTGGAGTCTCAGACGGACAGTCCCAGAGGGCAGGGATAGAGCATACAGCTCTGTAATTTAATCTAAAGGCTTTGTGTACTGAGTTCATGCAGTGCTCAGTAGTAGCATAAGTAGTCTAGAATAACACGAATTGGAACCCATTCCTAGCCAGGGCCTGGTTTTTAGGTGCTGGTTGTAGATTCTGGTTGGAATGAACAGGGTTCCACCATTCAATGTTTCAGCAGATATTTACTGAGAACCCAACACATGCTGTGCCCTCTGCTAGGTTCTGGGAATGTAAACATGCAGGAGACATGGTCCTTGTCCTCAGTGGCTTGTCGTCCAGTAGTCTGGTCCTGTCTCTGAGGTAGCTCCATGAGCTGTGAATCTTGATCTTGCTGCTGCTAGTACACAGCCCCAGAGGAGGTGCCTTTGCCTGGAGGACACTGTTACGAACAAGAGGGACGATTTATTTCCATGAGCACATCTCACCATGCCCAAGCCTGAATCTTCTAACTGCAATTCCACCTTCTTCCAAGAAGCCTTTCTTATCTTAGTTAAAGGGAAAATACTCAATGGGGTGGGGATTGTGGGGCTCTACATCATGTCATTTCCTTGTTCAAAAACCTTCAAAGGCTCTAAGGCTCATAGGTCAGCCTGACTGCCCTTGCCGGACACTGGCAGCCCCCCTGGATGCTCCAGCCCCACCCCTGGCATTATTCCCTGCTCTGGTCTCTTTGAGGCACACCAACCTCTGCATTGTCCCAGGACCCTCTGTGATCTCCCACTCCTGGCCCTTGCTCAGATATCCCCCCTTCTTTGGAATGCCCCCTCTCTTCCTTCTACCAGCGAAGTTCTCCCTCTTCTGGAAAACTCCCTTGAGTGCTTGCAGACTTCATGTCTCTGTGGAGAGAGAATGAGCGTCTCTGATAGTCTTGTCTTCTTGGACGTTATTTCATATGAGTGATCTCACTTCCTCAGGGACGTGGAGGTGATGCTTTTGTAACAGGACCCACGGATTTGATTCCTGCTGCTTCAGTGTGCGTAGAACACGGAGCAGACACCTGATAAATTTGTGCTTGGTTTTTAAAAAATTGTTTTATCCTAGAAAGAGAATTAAAAGCAGTCAGGCTTTTGATCTTTTCAGTCTCGCCCCCATCATTCTTTATGCACATTCTCCTTCCTGCCCAAATGGACTCCTCGCCTCTACTTGAAAGTTCTTTCCTGCAGCAAGACTTGCATATTCATTCCCTGCCATGAACAACAGGGTCAGTTTTGTTGTTTGCTGGCTTTTTGTAGCCTTCCCTGTGTAGACTGCAAGCTTTCTTTCACAGGGGCCCCTCAGCTCCGTCCCCCGCCCTGCATGGGGTCTTCCATCAGGCGGGAGGTGCTAGGAAATGCTTATTGCCTTGGTCAGCTCAGGACACTTGACAGCCATGAGCCTTTTTTTCTCTGCGATTCTGATAGAGAAGGAGCCCAAACTCCTAAGACACTGGGGCACCAAGTAGGTAGAGAAGGGCATGAGCCTCTCTCTGTCCCGGTCAGCTCCCTAGAGGATAGCCGCTTTGCACCAGGAGTCCCTTGCGAGGAGACTTTTGCTCTCAGTGCTATGGGGCTGCCAGCCCTAGCTTTGTTCTCGAGCCAGACCTGCTCCTGGGTTTACCCCATCCCTACCCTGGCTGTCACTCCCTGCAAAATCTCACACAGTCTATAAAGATGTTTTCTTTTATTGACAGGTGAAATCTGGAGCAGGACTCTGAAGCTTTCTGTCCTCCATGCCGCTCACTAGAAAAGGGGCTGTGAACTGTAAGTAACTTGGATTGGCGTTTTCCATGCTGACTCAATAAGGTTATGGGTTAAAGACCAGCCCTGAACCTGGTCTTTAACAGCCATGCATTGTGCGCAAGAAACACTCAACAATGAACTAGTCAGAATGTAAAATACAGTCGAGCTCTAATTAGATTATGTCTGAATGTGACAAAGAAGCCCTGTAATATGACATCCTATTTAATTAGACCATATTGATTGTGCATTAAGGTGACTTGATGTGTTACGTGTGTCATGAGTTCTGGAGAAGGAAGCTCCTGAGTTTACAAGGCTAGCCCAGACCCCAGCCAGCATTGCTGTGGGCTGAGCCTGGGAGACAGTGAGAGGAGGAAGTGGTGACATCAGCCCCCAAACTGGCCAAGTTTATAGCCTGCACTTGCTTTGACATCTGGTTATTTCTGGGGAGGCGTGCGGGAGGAAAAAGGAAATACAGCTGACCACGTCCCTTCCATCAGCCCAGGAATAGCTCCACTCAGACTTAGGCTTATTTGCTCATGTTGTTTCTTCCCACTTGGCAAAAGTCGACCCACTTGTAGGACCCGGCCTAAGTCCACCCTCCTCCAGCCAGAAGTGACTTCTCCCTCCTCTGGGCGGCGGGTTACTGGGCTCTCTGCAGCAGGGCCCAGCGCTCCTGCAGGGTAACGTCTGGGATTCCCACTTCTCTCCTTTGCCTGCTGCACCCTCAGCAGGGTCGCTGCTCGGGTGTTAGCCGGGTGGCTGAGTGGCCCTGCGCCGGCGTAGCTTCTCCACCCACCCTCCAGGCTGGGCCGCTGCTGCGGCGACTTTGATAGTACATTGGCTTCCAACCAGTCCGTGGAATTATAAATGATTAACCGTTATCAGCGCACATCTTCACCTCTGTGTAAAAATAGATTGACTGTAATGAGCATTTGAATAAATCATAAGAATGGCCGCCCTGCGATCGGCTAACATCCTGCCGATGGCTGCCCGGTGAGTGAGCAGGGCGCCGGCCCTCCCGCCTAATGGCCTGAGATTCAGTGCCGGTCGCCTCTGTGATTGACGGGCCTGGGCTCCCGGGGCACCTCCTCTGCAGCCAGGCTCTGGAGCAGTCGGAGCCCCCAGCTGAGGATGGGAGGACGGGGAAGGGTGCCTCCCTCCGTCCTGTTCCAGGAAAGCCTGCCTGGGAGGTGGGGTGGAGGGTGGGCGGAGGGGAACCAGACTAGAAGATAATGACCTTTGTGAGAATCGATGTCTCCTCGCATCGGAGGTTAGAGGGACCTCATAAGTCAAGTCAAGTATGAGGAGCAAGCTGAGCGTGAACCTTAATGAGAGCTGAGCGTGTGGGGGAAATAGGTCTGCATGTTCCCCTGTCCCTGAGGGTGGCTGGGCACCTCGGCACGGGGCCACCCTCACTCAGAGAAACAGGGACAGTGAGGATCCAGGAAAAGCAGCTTTCTTCAGGTCTCAGGGCCTGAAATGGGAAGATGCAAGGATCCCTCAGGGAGTGGTTTGCAGGGCTCCTGCCATCTGGACGGGGAGGAGCATAAGGACAGGGGATGCAGGCTCAGGTGATGGGGACCAGGTGAGCATGGAAGAGTCTAAAAGTCTAAAGTTTCAGAGAGAAGGCCAGTGAGGACTGGATTTGAGAGGGAAACAGTAAACGTTCCAATTCAATTCCACTGGTGTCCCAGTTGCTAGGCTGTGTAACAGGTCACCTCCAAACAGAATGGCTTCAGAACATGTGTTCTGCTCACATAGTCTGCAGGTCAGGAATTCAGGGCTCAGTGGGAGTAGCTTGTCTCTATGCCACAGTGTGGAGTCTTAGCTAGGGCACCTCAAAAGCTGGATACCGGAGTCATCCAAAGGCTCATTCACTCGTAGTTCTGGATGGAGACGTTGGCTGGGGCTGCCTCAGCCAGACCCACTGTGACCTCTCCATGTGGCCTGAGCTTCCTCACAATATGGCGGCCTGATCCCAAGGGTGAGCATCCTGAGAGACAGTAAACGCCAGGTGGAAGCTGCATTGCCTTTTGTGGCCTACCCTCCAATGTCGAGCAGCTTCACTGCTACCATGTTTCTTTCAACTGGGGCCGTTGCAAAAGCCCATCTAGGTTTCAGAGAAGGGAATATAGACGTCTCCTCCTGCCCTCACCAAAGGAGTATCAATATCATGTTAGAAGGATAGCCATTCGATGTGATGAACAGCATGAGGAATAGGATAGACCTTGTTGCAGCCGCCTTGGGAGAATACAATCTACCATAACCGGTATTTAAGTTAATGGTGTGGCATGGCACAGCCTCATCCACTTCCCAGAAAGAATGAAATGGATGCTTCCTGGGGGATGATGTGCTCCCCTAGAAGGACAGGCTAAAGAAACCCTTACCTTAGATAAATCAAACTGTCCCTTAACTCACAGGTGTTTGGCCTTGGAGGCCAGGGGAGGCTTCCTTCCTGGGCGGGGCACGCTGGTGCTAGGAGGTCTTGCAGCTGGTAGAAAGCTCTGCCTCATGTTCCATGGCGGCAAGAGCCGGTCCAGTTGCCACCGCTGGGTTGGTTTGTCAGATCTGTAGTGTTGGGTCTGGAGGGGTCTTAGACCAAGGACTCGACAAGCCTTGAGCCCTTCGTTTGTATCCAGGGTTCCCCATACTCCATTGCCAAGGCCTTCCAAGCTGGGGTAGGTTTCAGACAAAGACCCGGATTTAAGAGGCTACAAGGTGCTGTTCTGGGGGCTGGGGAATTCTGGAACCCACATCCTCTGTTTTCCTTCCTTCCTTCCCCGCTGCCACATGCTGTGACCTGCGGAGGCTGTGTCCTGCAGGAACCAGGCTCCCCTCCTTTGCCATTTTCCTGACCCAGATGCAGCTAAATTCTGGAAGGGAATCTGAGTGCCCTGGATGGCTTGTTGGGACTTAAGGGGATGGAAACAAAACCCAAGCAACCAAAGAGTGGAAACAGAACGAGCCCATCTTCCCAAATGGCTGAGATCTGAGAATGGCTAATGCTAGAAGAGAGGGGGCAGGAAAGAGAGGGATGAGTGGGCTTGGTCTTGTTGAAAAGGTGTTGGGGTTTGTAGGGAGGGTCTGTGTTCTTCCACATCAGCTTAATATTAGTATTAGTAACCAACACTAATTGAGCACTTACTACATGCTAGGCACTATGCTAACCATTGGGGTGCATTTTCTGATTGACTCCTCATTTGGCTTTATGGGATGCTGGTATTATCTCTGTATTACAGAAAAGGAGAGGTGGCTCAGGAAACCAGAGCAATACCCTAGAAAGTGACAGAGCAAGTTTGTAACAGAGTTGAAATTGAATTTAGGACTCTCTATTTCAGAGACTTAAATGACTTTCTTGTGTGCCTCCAAGAGCCATCCTCCTATAAAATGGGAATGTCTGAGGATGTCATCCCAGTGTCACCTTCCGTTTTCAGATCCTAAATTTGCAGATACAGCTCTGAAAACTTGCTTATGTATGTCTAAGTGGGCCCACTTTATGGAGTTGAGGCTGTATGAAAAAGCATGGAATGATTTCCTGTTCTTTCCCGTTTGGTGAATCTTAGGTCAAGAAACTAATATTTAATTTGGACAAATGAAGGAAACAGATGAAAACATAACAATCATTTAGATTTTCAAGGCATCAGCTTGGAGGGGAAATGTTAGATTTGAAGCCCAAAGCTCAGGTTTGAATCCCGGCCCCATGACTTAGCACCTTTGTGATCCTGGGCTCATCTTTTTGGTCTTTGGATTACTTGTCTCTGGAACAGATACAGGATTGTATGTACTCACCAGGATGCCGTGAGAGTCAGTGAAATCCAGCATGTGCGGGCACCCAGAGCCATTCCTGGCACAGCATAGGCACTCAGCCATGGTTCAGCCATTCATTCAGCAGTGGAGCTGGAAAGAAAGGTTATTCCTTTGCATTGCTTCTGACAGAGATGGTCAAGAATCTTGCCTTTAACTGTACTCTCATAAAAGTTCACTCATAAACTATTGATATTTTAATAATACACATTAGTATCTTGCCCTTTGACAAATGAATATTGAATGAGCAATAAAGAGGCAAAAGAGTAACCAGGTATATGCTGTGGAGAGTCTGGGATCTTGGGTGGCTGTCTAAGGGAATGTCCTCTTTCCAGAGACCTTATGACTCAGGCCTCTTCCCAGTGACCCCTAGGGAACAGCTTTTAAGAGGAGCTCAGGATCCAGCCAGCCCAGCCCAGTCTGAGCAGGATTTGTCCTTGTTTTTTCTTTGGCTTGGCTGGAGGGGACTTGGGAGAAGAGGGAATGTCATTCCAGGGCTGCTAAAAGGGTGGATGTTTGACCCCATGTGACATACCATGGGGCTCCCCATTATCTTTGCTAAAGGTACAGGCTTCTTCCTCACATACTGTCTCCTCTCTGTAAATTAAAAGTCTGCAAACGGTCAGACAGCGTGCCCACAAGAAATCAGGCAACGAGCCTAGAAAACACAGACTAGTTTTACCTGCCTCTCTCAGTGCTGGACCAGGTCTTGATGGGAGCCTCTGCTTGGGGTGTGTGCTAAGGTTTACAAGACAGAATTTCCTGCCTCTTCCAGCTTCTGCTCCCAGCCTGGCTGCCACAGCCTCCAGTTTCTCGTGGCCTCCGTCTGCACTGGGAGTCCTTGAGTGTACAAGAGAGCAGTGACAGGGGCTCTTCGTTGGTCCGGCTTAATTGGTGTGATTTAATGGCGTTTCTGGCGGATTCAGATTTATACAGCTTTCTGAGCTGCAAATCTGCTTTCTAAATGTAGAATTTTTGTGGAGTGGTAAAAAATAATGGCTGTTCTGTGATTCCTGCCTCCTGAGCTAGGAGATTGCAATTTACATTATGCAAATAGGCATTATGCAATCAAGGCACTTTAGCAGGAATCTGGTGGCGAAGAGGCCGCTGATGAGAAACCGAGGTCTGCAGCCCCAACTGGAGGGCCCCCTCCCCCCAAGAGCAAGATGAAGTGGGGAGAGGGTGGGCTGGACGGGGGAGGAGGCAAAGAGTCTGTGCCCCTGGTCCAAGGAGGCAGAGTGGAGCCTGCCCAGAGATGAGTGCATCGCATCGGGGAGCTGCCAACGCGACTCTCTCAATTAATGGCTTTGTTTAATCATACCCCCTGTCCAGAAGAGTATTGTCTTACGGATAATTTCGTTTGCCTAACGAGATTTTGCTAATTAAATCTCCTTTCAGTTGGTGTGACTGTGCCTGCAGGAGAGGGGGCTATTTGGAGCCTTCTCCATAAACCTTTCTGGAGAGGAGCTAGGGAGGATGGTGGGGGGGAGAGAGAAGAGACAGAAGGGGAGGGAGAGACCCTTTCCTGCTGTGAGTGGGGTTTGGAAGCTGCAAGGTGGCTGCCACCCACCCACCTTGCCCGTCTCTTGTTCATAGAAATGCAGACAGTCATAAATCCTTGTCCAGCTAAAGGGATTTCCCTCTGTTTTCTTCCTCTATGGCTCCCGTCACCTCCACCATTCCCCACTTTCAGGCTCTTCCCAAGCCTTCAGAGCGAGAACCATGAGGCGTGTGAGGAGCTTCCGAAGATTTCCAAGCGCTGCTCCCAGCAGCCTGGCTGTGGGGGTCGGTGCTGGTGCGGGATCCCTTCCCCTTGCCTTCACTGTTAGCCAGCCAGTCTGGCTCTTCAGAGAGGAAAAATTGCTCCAATATTGGCCATTTCTCCAGGAATAATTGCATGAATCAAAGAGGAGAAAACCTCCTTAGATTCATTTATCATCAGAGCCAGCTGAGAAGAGCCTCCCATTAATATATTAATACACGGAGGAGCCTAGTGCTGTGCCTGCGACAGCTGGAGCCTAAGTAACGCTGTTAGTTGCGAGTATGTGACCATGTCTCTCCCATGCTGCACCAACCCCAGTGGTTCCTTACTGTGGCCAGGTTGAAGGTCAGCTTCCTTGGCTTGGCTGACGGGGGGCTTCACAGTTCAACCCTGGTCTACTTTTCTACCTTCGTCTTCCTCCTACCTGCTGCTCTAAACTCCCTGTACCTATTGGTGCTCAGACATGCACCCCAAGTGCATGGGCTGCTGAATATCCCCCCTAAATATTCTGTATACTTTTATGCCTCGGTGCCTTTGCACATGGTGTTTCTGTGTCTGGGACATCCTCAGCCCAGTACCCCTGCTTCTTCCATAATACCTGGCTCACATATCTCCTCCGTGACTTCCTCCTTCAGGCCGTCCCTGTCCCCACTCCAAGCTGCTGCACTCCCTTCCCTGCAGATCATCACAGGACCTCAAGCACGGTTATTAGTCTGTTTGTCCAAGTTAAGGACTGAATCTCATTCTTTTCTCAATGCCAGTGCCTGGCCAGAGTAGGCACTCCGCGAGGTTGGTTGAGAGAAAGGGTGAATAGATGAGCCACGGAGAGGGCGGGGTGATGGAGACGCGCCCTTTACGAAGCCCCCCAGCCCCGATGCGTGATGGTGGGGGCCAGGAGGCTGATTTCTCCTAAGGTCTGCAGAGGTGCCCGCCCGTCCACTAGGGACTTCCATGCGTGGGCCCTGCACTCTGTCGGCGCCCTATTTCACACACTCTCCCAGGCACCCCGTCAGGTGGGTGTTATTTTTGCAGAGGGCACTGAGGTTCCTCTGCCCTCATCAGAGGGCCAGGCTGTGTTTACTGTAACTGGGCCCACCGGGGGGGCCCCAGGAGGATCTGCTTGGAGGGAGCTGCAAGCTTCTATGCTTCTCAGACTCCCCTCCCACTCGCCCATCCTGATGGGAACCTAAGCCACCCTGGGAGTGTGTCCCATCCTTGCTCCCCGCAATGCCCCGGCTCACGTGTGTGCTGGGATGCCTGTGTGTGCCCACCTCTGTGTCTGCGTGTGCTGGGGGCTGGAGCCATGCACAGGCCCTACAGTGCGACCTCCAGGTGCTGGTTCTGGACTGTTCTGGACTGTAGCACGTCTGGCGTTGGGGATGTCAGCGGTGGAAGAGTTTACAGTCTGTGCTGGGGAGGGGACAGTCCAGGAGCAATAGCTCAGATCTTCATGTGGGGTGCACGGGTTGTGTGTGTGTGCACGTGTGTGCAGGCATGAGACAGTTTTTGAAGAGAGTGTCTTTGTGTCTTTCTTGGTCCCTGAGTTTTTGTGCTCTGTTTGCTGCCCTTTGGTCCAGGTATGTCTGTCCATGGTCTGTCTCTTCCTCTAAGCTTGTAATCATCCTAATATCCCCACTATGCTCTGAGTCTGTAGTGTTTCTAGGTATGCAGTAGGTGCTCAACAAATGCTCAGTGAATGCACAAGGAAAGGATTGAAAAACTGTGCACTTTGGTGTCAGACAGACTTGGGTTCTGTTATTTACTTACCTGGGACTTTTGGTTTAATTTTCTCATCTAGAAAGCAAGAATAATAAGACTCCTTCTTCTATTTTCTTAAAGGGTTGTTGGTGGGGGATTATAAGAGATATGTGAAAGTGTTTTATAAACTGTACAGCACTGCACAAGTATAAGAGGTTATTACTATAATGGTTATTACACTTGAAGTGATCATTGTGTTTGAAAATTAGGGATTCTGTTTTCAGGAATATAAAATCATCCAGGCCTGATTTGAACTCTGAGACTTACAGAGCAATCATTATAGGAACTGATTCTAGATTTGATCAACTGTGGGAACTTTCAGGGGCTGGAGCCTCAGCCCAGAGACCCCTGCCGCTCCCCTTGCTGGTGGACCGTCCTTGGGGTGGGAGGATGAGTCTGGGGAAAGTAGTCCACCTTCATTTAAGCCATCTATCCCCCACGAACAGGAAATGGAAATGGTCTCTCCTAAGTCTCTGTCATTGCCTAGACTCTCATGCCTTGTTATCTTTACATATACTGTTCCCTGTGCCAGGAATGCCTTTCCCCCTTCTCTCTTTTGATCCTCTCATGCCAAGTTGCTGCACTGTCTCCAGGCTGCCAGATTACCAAGTGTACCTCCATGAGGGCATTTGTCACAGTGTGCCTGGGACTGTCAATGGCTGCCACCCTCACCAGGGAGGCAGGTGCGTCGCCAGGGCAGGTACCAGGCTTCACTCATCGCTGTAGTCCCAAGCCAAGTGGATGAATGGATGGAAGGATGAAAGATGAAGGGAAGAGTTGGGGCTTGTTAGTGGCACAGGATTTGAGCTTCTGAAGCATCCTAAGCTACAGGGGAAGACGAAGAAGCAGCAGCTTTAGAGGGATTAGCACTGCCTTTGTAAATCACCCCCAAATTTGTGAGATATTTCCCACCCACCTTCATGCCCCAAAGGTCAATGAGGCTGATCTTCCCTGGGGTCACTGGGCCTGGGGACCCTAGTCCCCTATAGGTGGGTGACTGGCCCTCAGCTGGGTGGTGAAGCCTCCAGGTTGGAGCTGTGTCCTAAAGATGGGCGGCATCTACCTGCTGCTGACCTCTACAGGTGAGCAGTCCTCCACTTGCAGAGGCAGATGCTGCCTTCCCGCATCCCCGACCCTTCCAGATCTGTCTCTTGGTGGGGTTGGCCCCAGCTGGTGGAGAGTCTGCTGGAAGCCCTTCCAGGGGCGTGGCTCCCTCGCCTTCTCCCCGGGTTGGAGGTATCTCGTCTGCTGCCTGTTCTGGGTCTGTCCCCCAACGCCCTTCCACTCCCAGCCCCAGGCAGCCTCAGCAAAGTGCCAGGGGGCTGGGAGGCTTTTCATTACCGAATGCACTGAACCTATTTGTGAGTGTTTTGCAAAGTGTTTAATCCAAGGTGTTCCCTCAATTAAATTAGTGCAAACATCTGTGTCCCACATCCACCTCCATTTGCATTCTGTGCCATTTATTACAGCGGGAAATTGGAAGGCACCTTAGGAATACTTAGGACCGAATTAGGCTAGGTTGGGATGGGCTCTGGGGGAGGGCAGGGTGCCTGCGAGGTTGGTCCACAAGGCAAATCCGTCTCCAGGCTGGGACCTGTGAGGAGCCACTTTCTGGTGCAGGAGACCACGTGGGGGGCAGTGTCCCGGATCGGGACCACTGGTCTCGTGGGGGAAGTTGGGTGAGTTTAATTAATACCCTGATCCCCACCTGGGGCCAAGTACCTGCAGAGGCAGGAGGGGTTCACTGTTGTTGTTTTATAACTTTGAACCCAATTAAAAAAAAACAAAGTGTGTCACATTCAAGTGACCCACCTGGGTCTCTCCCCAGGGGAGCATTTCTCTGCTGGAAGGTGGGGTTTTCTCATCACGAAACTGCTCAGCCTGGGTGACTGGCTGAGTGTGGGTGGCAGCTTCTCTTCCCTTATACCACGTGATTCCCATGACTGTCAAGTACTTAGGAGTCCTACTCTTATACCAATCTAGGAGGGATCAGAGAAGAATAGTTTCTGCTGTGTGACAGCGTGACAGGCACTGTGCCAGGTGCTTCGCATGCGTTATCTGCGATAACGCTCCCACCAGCCCTGGAGACGGGACAGACCAGGGAGCTGGGGCTCAGGAAGGCCAAGCAACGTGCTTGTGGTTGCACAGCTGGAAAGCAGAGCAGCCGGGGCCTAGATGCGGGTCTGCATGGCTCCAGGAGTATGTGCACTGGGACGTCTCTATCAAATGAAGCAGTAGGGATTGGCTGTGAGTCAGGAACCCTGACACCTAGCCCGGTTGTCCAGAGGCCCTGGTCCCAGGCTGCCCCCTGCTAGGATGGCTTACCTGGTAACCCCAGGGACCTGCAATGGGTAGGTTTAGCATGCCACTCACTCACCAGGGCAATCTGGCTCTTGAGGCATGGTGCAGAAGGAAAACAAAAAAGCCCAGGGAGTGAAGAAGGCTCATGAGTTGCTGAAGGGATCTTAGCAGTCACTGTGTTTCTCAGGACTGAGTGGGGAAACTGAGGCTCAGAGGAGGCAATGGCTTGTTAGCCACAGAGGGTTTGGTGGAGGCCACCAGGTGGGACCTGGTGCTCCCAACTCCTAGGACAGGAGTGATGTCAGAGCCTGGGAAAGTCCCAGGGGTTTTTAAGGGTAGGTGCTGCCTTTCTAGATATGAATGTGAAATTAGGTTGCAGCAAGAAGCCGGGGTGAGGCGAGGATGGGAGGCTACTGAGGACTCATCTAGTAAAGGCTGCCCTTAACAGAGAGACTTCCAGCTTCTAGAGAGCTGCCATCTCTAGCCCGGGCCCTGGGGCACCCGGACCACAGGGAGATCCTCACCAGCTCTTGGAGTTCCACCTAGAGACGTCCAGGGAGCGGCCAGAACAGACAAGGTGTGTCTTGGTCTGTTTTGTGAGGCTACAACAGAATATCTGAGAATGAGTAATTTATAATGAACAGAAATTTATTCCTCACCGTTTGGGAGGCTGAGAAATTCGAGATTGAGTCCCTCCCCTGTAGCTTAGGGTGCGGCGGCATCTGGTGAGGGCCTTCCTGCTGCTTGTAACATGTAACGCGGTGGGAGGCACCACGTGGCGGAAGGGTGAGAGAGAGGGCCAAGAGAGAGGCAGAGCCCTCGTGACCCAAACGCTCTTGAAGGTCCCACCTCCCAAGACTGCCACAATAGCAATTAAATTTCAGAGCGGGCTTTGGAAGAGAGGAAACATTCAAACCACAGCAGGAAGGGACTTGGGACTTGAGACTGGACAGTGCCCCCTCCTGGTGCCCATCTCCACCTCCCCTTTCCTCAGTCGCCCTGTACTCTGGGCAGCGCCACGGCGTCTGCAGGAAGATGGTGCAGTGGAGGAACGAGGGTCTGGGGCACAAATCCCTGCTCTCTCCCCTCCTCGCTCTGACCAGATACGGCCATCTCTCAGCCTTGGTTTCCCCATCTGTTAAAGAGTAATAGTAATCTCATCCCGCAGGGTGGTTGGGAGGATGAAAGGAAATCATAGGCAGGCTTGACTCTGGTTAGGACACAAGACATCGTGAGTTTTCCCTTCTCTTCCACCACTGCTGTCTACCTTCCCCTCTTAGACCCCGTGCTTTGATCCTGGGCACCAGGGGGGCTGTGGCGGGAGGATGGCAACACCTGCTTCAGCTCTCCCTCCTCCCTTCCTCCTTTTCTCCCTTCCCTCTCTCATCAAAAGACTTTAATAAATGCATCTCAGCATGAGGCACTGCCTGGGGCTTTATAAGAATGAATTGCTTATCCTAGCTCTTACTTCCTAGGAATGACAATCTACAATCAAAACACATTTATTAAGCACTGACTGTGTGTAGTATCCAGCCCAGCACTGGGCACATACAGGGCAGCCTGAGAAGCCACCCCAGGGCCTCTTTGGAATTGCCAGATCCCAGGACCATCTGCCTCTCCCAGCAGGATTTGGGGCTTCTGTGCCCT